TGGAGCAGAGTGAGAGCACACGGGCTTAGAGCTGCACAGGCCCGGCTGTGCATCCCCACTCCTCCACGTCCGGGCGTGGGCATCAGCTACCACTCCACGTGGTGGGAGCTGTGGGGAGGTGACCCGAGAGGAGGTACGCTGAGCACCGTGTGCAGTCTGACAGCGCACGCCAGTTAGATTGTCACTGTTGTTCGTGGTGTTGCTGTCCCAGTGCTGGATGAGGAGTGGCAGTTTGCCCAGTTGAAGGCAGCGCTGAGGGCTGACGTTGGGGGGGCCCTAAAGAGGAGCCAGCCTAGCCCGCTCCTTTCTTCCTCTACCTCCAGACCTCACAGCCCTGTGCTGTCTTGGCGCCTGGCCTTTTCCGTCAGGGCATTTCTGCCTTTTGTAATGTCACTGGAGCCTCCCACTGGACTGTAAATGTCCTGAGGGCGGGACCTGGTCGGTTTTGCTCACCAATGTCTCCCCAGGGCCTGGACGACAAGTGTGGAGTGTGTTTGGGAGGCTCATAGCGTAGTGGTTAAGAGAGTGGATTTGGGAACCAGGCCTCTTTGGGTTCGAATCTCTGCTCTGCAACTTACAAGCTGTGTGACCCTGGGCAAGTCACTGACCTTTCCGTGCCCCTCAGTTTATTCATCCTCTGTCTTAACGGCTGTGGTGAGAGGTAACTGAGTTGGTGTGGAGTGCCGAGTCCCATGCTGAGTGCCCGGTGAGTGTGGTGGTGGTGGAGTTGTCGTTGTCGTCGTCATCAGCCTGACTGAATAGAAGAAAGGCATTCCAGGCAGAAGCGAGAAAGAACAGGACCTGTGAAGGGACTAGGACACAGCCGATCGTGACTGAGGTCCGTCCTGAATGTCCCTCTCAGCTCCTGAAGAGGTCAGATTTTTGACCCTCAGGCCATGGGGAGTCATGGACAATTTTTAGATAGAGAAAAGTACTGGTTGGATTTATGTTTGAAGAGAAGAGGGTGGAGGTGATAGCCCAGGCCTGGGGGAGGTGACAGGGCCTAAACCAGAGCTGTCACAGTGATGATGGAGTGTGGGGCAACTCGGAGATTTGTCGAGCAGCTGGGATGCACAGGACTTGGCAGCTGTTTGAAGGTGCAGGGCGGTGGGGAGAAGGCTCCAGGCTGCTCGCCTCCTGGCTGACTTGGGCAGGAGGTGGTCACTGTGGCTCGCATCCGTGATGCTGACCAGGGTTCCACTGAGCACTCACAGAAATGGCCTCCTCCAGAGTGACAGCGGGAGCAGGGCTTCCCCTATGGCCGAGAGGGCGGGCTTGCCAGCTATTGGGGCTGAACAGACAGGACCAGGTCTGGAGCTGGAGCATCTTTGCTGGCCACTCTTTCCTGCTCTGGGCCCGTCACAGTCATGGTACTCAGCAGTTACTCATTGCTGCTCTTTACCTGATGTGGTACATGCATTGTCTGGCTGAAAAGTCTCGTCGCCCTGTGAGGCAGGAGTCTTATCTCGGTTTTACAGATGAGGAAACGGAGACCCAGAGGACTTGGATCCTTGCCCGTGGTCTCCGAGTTAAGAGGTGGGGTCAGATTTATCCCACTGCAAAGCTGTGCCGCTGCCCAGCCTGACTGCCTGCCGCCATGTGGGCAGACTCTTGGGAGCCCTCTGGGGAGGTGGCGTCTGCACCAGGTCCAACACAGAAAGGACAGACTACTGAGCAGACAGACAGGCACTCAGTGATCCAGATCCACTGGCCTGCCAGCCCTAGGCAACAGCAAGGCAGGCTAACGACAGATGGGGGTCTGCCAGGCCTGGCCTCCTCAGGAGCTGGGAACCAGAGCAGAGCTCTGCCCAGGGGTTTTGAAGGCTACTGCCAACAGCCCAGAGATCGGGAAGTCAGCTGTCATTCTCTTGGAACTGGTAACCATTGTCACTGGTTTTTATTCCCTCTTCTTAAAATAGCAAGCTGAGTTACTATTGTGGTTAAAAACAAAAACAAAACCAATATCCCCAGATTCCTGTGGGTTTAAATTTCTGCCTTTAATGGAGCACGCCCACCCCGTGGAAATCTTTATTAGAGAAGTCTTACAATTCTCCCCAGTCCTGCAGTCTACTCCCAGACCTGCGGGGAGTTGGCAGGTGGTGGATGGGCTGGGCCCGTCTGGGTCTGGGCACACCTTTCTTCTGCTGAAATTGCTCAGCTGGGTCTTGTCTCTCTGCTGCCTCTTCCTCCTCTTCCTCTCCCCATTCCTGTTCAGGCTGACTGAAACCCCCCGTTTCCTCACTCCCCAAAAAAACTCCATCCTCTGTGTGGCTCTGCCCACTGCTGGCTCTCAGGACTAAAGAACTTGCCAGCTGTGCTCAGGTCGACATTAGACGCATGCTCCAGGTCCTTCTGTACCCACCGGTTCGCTGGGATGGTATTCCTCGGACTTAAAAATATCCTAGCCACCCCCTTAACAGCCCACTTGCCTTTCCAAAATGACCTTAATCCCTTCTCTCCCCTAGAAGAAGAGAGGTGCCCATCATTATCAGGGGTCGCTGGGGGGTCACAAGGGAATCCGATTGAGGAGCTGCCCAGAGACCTGCCAGTGGAGCCAGGGGTCCGGGAGGAGGGGCAGATGGCCCTTGTGGTCCAGAGGACCCTTCTGGGAAAGCAGAGCTGCCTGACCCCTGATGAAAGACGGGGCAGTGGCATCAATGGCCACTCCTCCCTTGCCACTGTGTGCCCTTCCTGTGCCTCAGTCTCCTCATTAGTCAGGTGAGGGCAATGATGTACACCTGAGGGCTGTGAGGATTAACTCACATTCTTTATAGAAACAGCTAACAGTGCTGGGTATTACGTAGTATATAACTTGAGAAGTTAAAATACAATTGTGGAAGGGCATGCAGGCCAGGCTGAGCACCAGGGAGCCTTGAAAGGATTTGGGGCACGGGAGGGCCAGTCACTTTCAAGATTCAGAAAGTTCATTCTGGGGCAGCCCGGAGAATGGCGCGAGGCAGGAGGAGCTGAGGCGGTGGTCGGCGAGGGAGAGGGTGGGGGCCTGGCTGGGGCCGTGGCAGAGAGCAAGGTGGAAGGGAATAGGTAGGGTGGAGAGAGTCAGGAGCTGGAACTGGCAGGACTTTGTGGCCATTAGATGTAGGCCTGGAGTCAGGGTGACTAATCCTCTGGCCCATGTGACTGGAGTCACCGAGATGTGGTTTTTGGAGGAGGAGCAGGCTCTGCATGTTTGATTAGCCGCTGCCCCCCCAAAACCCTCCAAAGTAGGGCCTGGTCCCCTCTGCTCAGAGGGGCGCCCGTCCACCTCTCTTTGGTTTTTCCCATGTGGCTCAGTAAGTGTGTGAGTCCCCAAGAATGGGGAGTGTAGCACAAAGAAGCCACACTCAGGATGTGATTGTAGGATAAACAAGTCCACCTTTCAGCCCTTATAAGGGGAGCCCTGGGCCGGCCCCGTGGCTTAGCAGTTGAGTTCACGCGCTCCGCTGCTGGCGGCCCGGGTTCAGATCCTGGGCGCGCACCGACGCACCGCTTCTCTGGCCATGCTGAGGCTGCGTCCCACATACAGCAACTAGAAGGATGTGCAGCTGTGACATACAACTATCTACTGGGGCTTTGGGGGAAAAAAATAAATTAAAAAAAAAAAATTTTTTTTTTAAAAAAAGGGGAGCCCTTCCTCATCCCCACTCCCAGCCATAATCTAGGGATCAAAGCAACCTGCCCTGCTGCTGGGTCCCTACCTGGAGGCCTTGGGCCTCCTGGGCCACCCTGGTATCTCTCTGACCGCAGAACCCAAGGTTGGACCCAGGGCAGAACTGAAGCCAGGCCAGTTTCAAAACCAAGGTCACAGAAGCCACAGTTTTTGCAGCTGACTGTGCCAGCCCAGCCCAGGCATTGTCCTACAGGATGGGCCTGCCTGCCTGGCTAGAAGAGGGCCCTACCCAGTCATGCGGAGACTGCCCCCTCTGTCCTGACAGGCCTGGGCTCAGAGCATGCCTCAGCCTCTTTCGGTGCTGTAGGGCAGGGACCATGTCCATCTGGTCCACCGTTGCATCCCCAGTGCCTGCAGCAGGCCTGACACTTCAGTAGCTGTGCGACGAGTGAGGGGTCACTCAGCCTTCCTGAGCCTCAGCTGTCCCTGAAAATGTGGTGGAACTAGATTGAGAAGATGGTTGCACAGCATTGCGAATGTACTAGTTGCTACTGAATTGTACACTTGAAAATGGTTAATTTTATGTTATGTGCCCTTCTCCCCACTTTAAAAAAAAAGAACCACCACCACTCACTGAGCACCTGTTTAGGGCCAAGTGCTGTGTGGACGCCTTGTTTGTGTCATCACCACTCCTCGGGGCAGTTCTGCAGGGTAGCTCGGTGTCCACCTACCCGCAGACAGAAACTGGCTCAGAGGGGAAGTCGATGGCCAGGCCACCTGTTGGTGGCAGAGTCTGGATTAAACTGCACCATGCCGTTTCCTGCATAGGGAGAGAATGTCTCTGGGAGACCTGAGAGGAGACTGGTTACAGTGGGGGCCTCTAGGAAGTGGGGGCTGGGGGCAGGGGAGGCAGATGGATTTACTCTCCATCGCGTACCACCTTGGAACTTTTTTGCATTTTGAACCACGTGAATGATTACCAAGCCAAAAGATAATAGAAAGTCAAGAAGGAACGTTTTACTTACAAAAATAAAACAAAACACCGTCTTTATGTTGTCATGTCAGAAACAATCACTCTGGGGCCAGGCCTGCTGGCTTCCCGTCCCCACTGACCCATTTGGTACTCTGAGCCATGGCTTCCTCAGCAAAGGACAGTAGTACTCCCTCCTCACATGGCTACTCTAAGAATTAAGTGACAAAGTGGGACAATGTAGGTAACACAGTGTACACACTGCCTGGCCCATCTCGGGTGCCCAGAAAGCATCCATCGTCCTTCCTCTTCTCCATCTCTTCCCGCCCTGCCCCTGCTCACCACACACCCCCACCCCACTATTTGAGTTTGTCCCTCTGGGACCCCCACACACCTTTGTGACTTGTGGTCTCTTCTTCTCAGAGAAAGCTACAGATGGCTCCCTGCAGAGTGAGGACTGGGCCCTCAACATGGAGATCTGCGACATCATCAACGAGACCGAGGAAGGGTGAGGACCTCGAGGAGAGGTTGGGGGCGCAGTGGGGACAGCCAACTACAGTGCACCGTTGACTCCGCACCCTGCCTCCTGCCAGAGAGCCCCCCAGGCCCACCACTTCTGTAGCCGCAAAGGCAGACCCCACTTGTGGCCCTCAGTGCCAGGAGGGGCTGCAGAGGTCATCTGAGCCCCACCCAAAGCAGGAATACAGCATTTTAAACATTTTGGAACCAAGATCAGTCCAACCCTCTCATCAGATGGATGAGAGGCCCAGAGATGTAAAGTTCAGAGTCACAGCAGGTGTGCAGCAGGCCTCTGGGCGCTGCCAGCCCACACAGCCGCTCTCGGCAGCAGCCCAGCCAACCGGATCTTCCTAGGACAAGGCCAGCCGGCAACTCTGAGAATTAGGAGGCGGCCCCAAGCACCATTCTGCACTCTGTGGGCTAGGATGGGCATTAGGGACTCCTAGCTTTCTCAATGAACAAGAACAGACTTTCATTTCCTTGAGACTGAAAACCAGCAGGGAGGGTCAGGGATCATGGGGAGGGCAGTGAAAGTGAAGAGGAACTGAGAGGCTAATCAGGGGCAGCCTTTGCTGAGCATTTCTGGGGCGCAGGTCACCATGTCCTGCTCGGTGCCAAGGAGCCTGCCAAGGACATCCGTGGTGTGGGGGAGGTGTCACAGTCCTGGCTCCTGACCTCTGAAGCCCCATCACTGACCAGCTGTGTGACCTTGGGCAAGTCGCTTTACCTCTCTAGGGCTTTGTCTTCAAAGACAAGGTTCTTTTCAATCATCTATAATAAGCCCAAGTCCCTGAGGGGAGCAGAGAGGGCATGGGGTCACTCTCCTCCTCAGGAAAAACCAGGGAAGGGTCAAGGGGTGTGGCGACCACGGCCAGCAGGAAGTGCTGCCAGACGAGGCCTCTATTCTGGAAAATCAGGACCAACAGTTGGAGCAGGCTCTCGTTTCTCTCTCCGTTTTTCACTGGGATAATCCAGCTGGCCTGCTAGGCTTCCTCTCAGCCACGTCGTGCTCCATGTGTAGAGAGGCAGGCTGGAAGCAGGCAGCTCAGAGCCCAGGGGAGGCTGTGGGCTTCTGCATCACACAGTCAAGGCCAATCAGGAGAGGGCAGTGGCTGCCGGGCACCTCCCGCTGTCCCCAGCAGTGCTCTGTGGGCGAGGAGCTGGGAGGGGAAACTCGCACCTGCGTCTGGACGCAGAGGAATGGGGGTGAGAGTGGTGAGCAGATGCAGGGCCGCCAAGAGAAAAGACAAGAGGCAGAAACCTCATGGGGCCTCCAAAAAGGCCTGGGGGCTTCGTGAATGTCGGGGCTGAAAGTCACTGCACTGTCTTTAGAGAAGGAAGTCCCCATCTCCCTCGTAAACGTCTGAAGAATTGGGGCTCAGCTTATTCATGTGCGTGCTATTGATGTGGGCACTCCTGGGTTCCAGGCACTGACGAGGCACTGGGGACCCAGCAGTGACGAAGCAGACGTGCCCCTTGGCCTTGCTGAGCTCGTTATCTAAACTTGAGTCTCGTCTACTCCTCCGTTGGGTTGTGGCCTCCTTGTCATCCATTTGATGCTCCTAGCAGAGTACTAGACACGCAGTAGGCCCACCGCAATGGCACACAAGCCAGAACTGCTGAGTCCCAGTGCTGTGGCCATTCTCTGGGCCCCTCTGTAAGAAGTGGAAACCAGTCCCTTTAGAGAGCTGAAGTGGCCGCAGGTGGGCAGCTAAACCAGGAACAGAAACCAGCTTCCCCCGAGAAGGGCCCGAGGGTGAGGAGCTGCCCAGGGCGTTGGGTGGAAAACTGCCCTCGCTCGTCTGTCCCACCCCGTCAGGGGCCATGGTTTCTCGCCCCGCGTGTCCTCTCCATTGCAGCCCTGACAGGCCTCCCCGGCTCCACCCCCACGCAGGGTCTGTTCCCAGGAAGCCTTGCCTGCCGCCTTCACTCGTGTTAGGGGCCCCAACTCTCCTGACTTGCCCTTGACGGGGTCAGCACTGACAGGCAGACAGACACCCAGACAGCAGGACAGGTCCCTGCAGCCACTCGCAGCCTAGGAAATGTTACACGGGCTCCTGCGACGTGCTGGGCTCTGGGGAGGCCAAGTGTCAAATAGGACACGTCCCTGTCCACTAGGAGGCGTCATCCTTGGCTGGCAGACCTCGAGTCAGTGCTGTGTGGCAGTGTACCCTGGGGAGATGGAGGGCTGGGCAAGTGCTGTGGGTGAAGTGGTTTTAGCTGGGCCTTCACCAGGTAGATGTGGAAGACGGGGCCACAGAGGCTTCTAGGCCAGAGGGGGGGGGGCAACACTGTTCACACCTGCACAGGGCTGAGGGCAGGATGCAGGGGTGAGGTACAGAGGAGGGCAGTGGAGTAACAGGTGGGACAAGGAGAGCAGGCTGCCACCAGGGCCTTCAGGGCTCCCCTGCACTGAGGTGCATCCACCCTCCCTGCTCCTCCCTGCTGTGACCCTGCGCCTCTTCAGCCCCGCCCTCCACCTGCCCCCACACTTGGCGTGGCCTCCTCTCAGTTCCTCCTCACCCCAGGGCCCCGGTCCAGGCTGTTGCCTCTACGGAAGCCACTCTTCCCCCGCTCCCCGCGGCTGGCCCCATCTCTTCCTTCACACTCAGCTGTGATGCCGCCTCCTCGAGAAGACCTCCCTGACCGCCTGCCCACACCCACTCACTCTTACCACAGCGTCTGCTTATTTCCCTCACTTTTGTGGGTCTCCCTGGAATGTGTGATCCTTAAAAGCAAGGCCACATGGTCTTGTTCACCGGTGTATCCCCAGCACCCAGCGTGGTGCCGGCACATGTGGGGACTTAATAAGACTGAGTGGAAGGCTGGATGGCTAGAGGAACTGGCCAGAATGGGGCATGAGGACTCCATGCCTGCAGGTTATTGGTTCTTAGACTTTGTATGCATAAGAAGCCCCTGGGGCATGGTAAGCACGCAGATTCCCCGAGAGTCTGGTTCAGGGGTCTAGGGTGGAGCCCGGGATTCTGCATTTTTAACCAACACTCACACCTCCCTGCAAAGAGATTCTGGTTCAGAAGATTCAGGGAGCACACAGTGAGAATGCGGGCTAAGCAGTCGTGATCTCCTGAGAGGACTGTGGTGGGACAGGAAGATGCTGATGTGATTAGAACCTGGATACACAGAAAACAGAGACAGGGCACTGTGAGGGTGGGTCGATAAGAGCCATTCCCGTTTTCCAGCGCCTCCTGATCGTAGGCAGGCAGCCTCTGTGCTGGGTAAGGAGGTTCCATGCCTCAGCTCATCGTTCCTTTTGTCCTTCTGCCCAGTCCCAGAGATGCCTTCCGAGCAGTGAAGAAGAGAATCGTGGGGAATAAGAACTTCCACGAGGTGATGCTGGCTCTCACGGTGAGTGCACCTGTCCATCCGTCCATGGCAGGACCACATCCACCAGGGGTGGCCTCCCCCAGGCCCAGCAGGACTCCTAGCCACCCTGGGTTTCTCTTCTAAGGGCTGGAAAGGAAAGGTCCGTGGGCAAAGCGCTGCCCTGTCTACACTGCCGGCAGACACCGAGTGGCAAGAGAGGACATTTGGAAATGTTCTCCCAACCTACTGGCTTGGGGAACAGACATACCAAGGCCCACATCCCTCCAGAAGCAGTCATGGAGAGCCTGGGCCAAGGGACCTGCCAGGTGACATAGAAACTCAGCGAACTCAGGTCTCAGGGGGACAGGGAGCCTGGAGGCCAAGTTGGGTCCTGATTGTCACTTGGGCACCCCAAAAAAGGAACATAAAACAAACGCCAGTGACCGAGGGCAATCCTTGCTAAACAGGAGGGGCCAAGCGCGAGTGGGCATCCTGGCTGTTGGGGTGGGTGTGCTGGGGAGCAGGACCGAGGGCACTCTGTCTCGGCTTCTCACAGCAGCACTTGTATCCAGGGGAGTCCACTAACCTGCACAGGAAAGGCAGCTCCTGCGTGGCAGCGGGAACAAGGGGTGGGGAGGGAGGTTAAGTAGGGCCTTTTCCCAGGCCGCAGGGTCACCATTTGATTGCAAGTTCTCTCTGGTTTCCACTTGGAGAGCCACTTCCCATCTAGACTGTGTTCAGCTCAGAAACAGCATCGGGACGGGAGTCTGTGGGCACTGAGGCCTCTCAGTGAGGGGCCTCTAACCAGCACCCTGCCCTCTGCCCACCCCCACCCCAGCCCCAGTAAACCAGCCCCCAGCGGCATTGTCCCTGCTTCTCCACGTTCTGGGGTCTCACTTCAGGAAGCCCCATCCTCTGCTCAGCCTCCCCTCTGGGATATCAGTGGAGCGTGGGGGCGTCCTGGGCGCTCCCCGTTCTCTAGCAGGTGCTCAGTGGAGGGGGCTCCTGGGCGCTTCCGCTTTTCTGACGGGTGCTCAGTGGGGGGTCCTGGGTGCTCCTGCTCCTCTGGCAGGTGCTCAGTGGGGGGCGTCCTGGGCGCTCCCTGTTCTCTAGCAGGTGCTCAGTGGAGGGGGGGTCCTGGGCCCTCCCGCTCTTCTAACGGGTGCTCAGTGGGGGGTCCTGGGTCTCCTGCTCCTCTGGCAGGTGCTCAGTGGGGGAGTCCTGGGTGCTCCCCCTCCTCTGGCGGGTGCTCAGTGGGGGGGTCCTGGGCGCTCCCCTCCTCTGGCGGGTGCTCACAGGCGCCTCACGGCCTCCAGGTCCTGGAAACCTGCGTCAAGAACTGCGGGCACCGCTTCCACGTGCTGGTGGCCAGCCAGGACTTCGTGGAGAGTGTTCTGGTGAGGACCATCCTGCCCAAGAACAACCCGCCCACCATCGTGCACGACAAGGTGCTCACCCTCATCCAGGTGAGCACGGGCGGGGCGGGTGGGCTGAGGAGAGCTCAGTGCCAGCTCCCTTCTCCATGGAAGGTTCCAGGGCTGGGGAGAAAGGGGCCCCCCAGTGCTGCTCTTTTTCTCTTGGCTTCAGTCTGTTTCTCGTTTGGGGTCATCTTGTTTGCTGACTGGACGTTCTGGGGGCGGGGAGACTTGTCGACTGAAGGCCTTGCTGTGGAGTGGGCTGTCTGGGTGATGTAGTCAGAGAACCCGCGAGTCGGAGGGGGCTGGGGGGCGGGCTCACGGGGGAGACGGTGAGCAGTGGTTACCGGCCATGTCCCCTTGTCCCCTCTCAGTCCTGGGCTGACGCGTTCCGCAGCTCGCCCGATTTGACAGGTGTGGTCACTGTCTACGAGGACCTGCGGAGGAAGGGCCTGGAGTTCCCGATGACCGACCTGGACATGCTGTCGCCCATCCACACGCCCCAGAGGGTGAGGAGACCCCCAACGTGGGCGCAGTGGGAGGGGAGGCAGAGTAGTGACCAGAGAGGGTTTCTGCAGCTACATCCTGTCGGCTCCTGACTTCCTGGGGCTCCGGCCTCCTGATCCTGTTTTTTACCTTCTAGACTGTGTTCAGCTCGGAGACACCATCAGGACAGAATTCTGTGGGCACTGATACCAATCATCGAGGGGACTCCAGCCAGCACACTACCCCTCTCTCCGCCCCGACCGTGCTCCCCAGCGACACACCCATAACGCCAACCCCTGAGCAGGTAAACAGACCAGCCTGGGTCACGGCCACACGGGTCAGGACGGTGGGCTTGGCCCCTCTCCACACACGTCAGAGAGGGGCCCCTGTCAGTACAGAAATGACTGTCGTGGAGCTCTGCTCAGTCCTCACAGCAGTTCCACAGGGTGCGCAGCAGCCCTCCTGTTGGGAGATGAGGCTCAGAGAGATAAATTCACTGGCCCAGAGCCACACAGCTCATCGGAGACAGTGCCGGGATTCAAGTTCAAATCTGTCTGACTTCAGGCTGGCTGTCTTGTTCTCCAAGCTGTGTTCTCTGTAGAGCCTTTCAGCCAGCACCAGGGAGAGGAAACACCCCGCAGGCGGCCCTGCAGCCACCACAGCTCCACTTTCTTTGTGCGGTTTGCCTGTGTGCTCACGTAAGATTCCATTTGAACAGAGGTGCTGACTAAAAACAGTTTTAAAACGTTTACACAAAAATTTTTTTAAAACCCTTGTGTTGCACCACGATGCTTCTTGCAAAGCCCCAGGAAGAAAGCTTTAGGTGAAGTGTAACACTCGGGGCCTGGGGCAGGTTTTCCCAGGGCCCTGTGAGTGGCTTTGAAGGATTACCCTCCTCAGACTGGGCGGCACGCAGACTTAGCCTCTGTCCCTCTGTTTCTTCCTCCCAAAGCTGGAGGCGACCTGCCCATTGGCCATGAGCAGTTTGTGGCATGCCAAAGCTACTCCCCCTGCGGGGGGCATCCACAGCTGTGACCGGAGTCACCTGGGCGCTCAGTCATTTTAGACTCGGCTCTTGGGGTGTGGGTCAAGGCCTGCACACTGTGGGGGCGTCCACTTCTGAGGGGTTTACAAACTTCAGACCCATCACATCAGCTGAGTTTAGAAGTGCCAGTGAGAAAGATACAGATAAATGATGGAAATAAAAGTGAAACTTGACTTCACGGTGCACCCACTGATGTCTTCTACAGTAAAGTTTGGAGTTATAAACACATAAGCTTAGCAACAGCCTTTCACACCCTAACCTATTAAGGGAAACTTCTGTACTTGGATATTTTATAGCAAGTTATGAAGTCACCCCTCAGAGTTAAAAATATTACTAGAAAAGGTTTCCTAACTGGACAAATAATTAAAGGTGCATAAAAATTGTAAAATCTCCCTGTGATCCACAATTTATCTAATCTGGTTATGATTGTGACCAATTTGCCTGAAGTCTAGCATCTGTGGATGAAAATTCTGATTACTTCTAGTGCAAGAAGATTCTTGCTAAACAAAACTCAGCGGTCTTTGTTGCATCTCAGAGTCCCCTTTTGTCTCCTGGGACATGTTAAGACTGTCAGGCATGCGGTGATGTAACTCCCAGACTCCGCTGTAATTAAGTCCCATCTGACCTGGACACACCATGTTTATGACCCGTAGTTTTTCCACTCGCTTATACCAAGAGAGTTTATTAAATAGCCAAAGGTACCAACGTTTTACAGGCTGGGAAGGTGTCAGTGAACCGGAGTCGACGTACTACCTGTGTCTGTGCTCCCACCTCTTTGTCTGTAAGGCTGGGGTAGTGATATCTGCCTCAGAAGGCTGTGGTAAAGGTTAACTAGCAGTGTATGTTAAGTGCTTGGCACTTAGTAGGTGGTCGACAAATGGTAGCTGCTGTCACAGGCATCATGAATTTACATGGTGACACTCATACTCTGAAATCAGCTAGGTCACACACTTTATAATGTACCGGCATTTCTCAAGATGTAGGCTGCTATATACTAAACCCATGAGATAGTCCATGATCGGAGGTTTCTTCAGCCAGATCAATTTTGGGAACTTCTGTGCTGATCCCTTGCTGGACATCTACAGCGTACACAGTGTTCATGAGGAGACTAAACACCCCGCAGAGCCCACGGCCTGAGACACTGACCAGTCGCCTTTCACCACCTCACCCGTGTGAAGAGACTGTGCAACTTGATAGTGATTCCCCAAGCCAAGACTTTAGAACCCTTTGATCATTGAAAACCTGCTAACATCCCTTTAACACGTACTAAATCTGAGTTTCATAGTCGAGGTGGGGGGCGGTGCTGGGGCTCATCCTTGGAAGAGCCTGGGACACCAAAGCAGACCAGGAGCAATACAAAATCCCATCCTCCTAGGAGGAGCCAGGGGGCAATCCTGTCGTCCTAGGAGGGAGGCGGGCCTTCAGCTTCCCTGTCTCCCCTTGGGGGAACCGCCCTCCAGGGCCTCGTTAGCTGCTGCACTGAGCCCAGGAGGGGCTGGAGCCCTCCAGCTGTACTCTGTGGTGCGTTCACCCTCAGCTTCTTTCCTTTCGGCTTCTCCCTGCAGCAGGCTCCGCAGTTTGGAGATGGTAACGGTTGGTAGCACCTCTGTCGGGGGGGGCCTGTGTGGGGCGGGGGCAAGCCCGCCTGTTAGTGCAGGGCTGTGCCCCGGGAGCTTCGAGAAGGTGGTGGCAAGTTGGATCCTCTGGCACGACACCCGCGGCTGGTGGTGCTCGGCTCTGTCTCTCTGAACAGCAACAGCTCAGGACCCTGGCCTCTCTCACCGGGTCCGTGGTGTGTTTCAGATTGGGAAGCTGCGCAGCGAGCTTGAGATGGTGAGTGGGAACGTGAGGGTGATGTCAGAGATGCTGACGGAGCTGGTGCCCACCCAGGCAGAGCCCACAGACCTGGAGCTGCTACAGGTGAGCAAGCGTCCACCCCCCTGGTTCAGTGTGCCCTGCCCCCCAGGTGACTTCTTGCTCATTTGCCCACACACATTTCTCCCCAGCCCACACTACAGTTTTGTGGCTTCCTCTGAACTCCTTGGTCACAGTGGGAGATGCTACAACCAGGGACTTGGGCTCCATCAGATTGGAATTCGGGGCTCTCTGACTTTCTGGTTTGAACAAAATAGCCCCTCTAGCCTCGGTTTCCTCATCTGTACAATTGCTCTGATAATAGCCTTTATGGTACAAGTTTGACATGAGAATTAAATAAGGTTTTGCATGTGCCTGGTTCAGAATAGCTCCCAATAAATGGTATTGAGAAAAAGCTGGAAGGTGAGGTTTCCACCTTTCAGAATATGCAGCTTAGCAGGCAGGCGTGAGAGAGCAGAGCCGGCTTTCAGATGAGGGAGCACTGGTCTCTGGGAGCTGAGGCAGGTGGGAGCTGTGGGGTTTTGCTCCTGTGTGTCACACGATATTGCCACGGTCCCATCCCCAGCTGTGGGGGCACTGGAGCAGAAGGGACTATATTTGGGGAAAGGCACCCTCCCTGTGGAGGTCAGTTCGTAGAGACGCCAGAGACCCCCAAGGCCCAGGAGTCACCTGAACTCATGAGGGGACAGAATGTTTGGTATAATTGTCCCATTTCATATTGGTCTCCCACTGGGCCTCAAACTCCTTGCAGGCAGGTCTGTGTCGTGCTCATCTCAGTGTCCCCGTGCGTAACCGAGCTGATGCAGTGTACTTGGTCAGGGGTCCTTACCCTGTGGCGGACAGTTCAGTCAGAGTCTCAGAGTGGAACGAACACACAAACGTGAAGAATAAATGAGGTCTTCTGAGAGAAGCTCAAGCGAGTTGGGCAGCAGCAGGTGTGCTGTAGGGCGGTTCATTTCCTATGTCGCAAACCAAGGCCATGCAGGTGTGAGCGATTTCGGGGACGGAGAAGGCTGGGGCTGGTGGGCAAGGTTGACATGATGGCATTTTACATGCATCGAGCACCTCCCATGAGCCAGGCTCTGATGTGGACACTTGACAGACATTCACTCATTTAATCCTCACCCTCCCCGGGAGGTTAGGACTCTTATTATCCCCATTTCCAGGTCAGCAAGCTGAGGCAAAGAGAGGTCATGTAGTGTGCCAGGGTCATAAGACTGGTAAGCAGCAGACCCAGGGTCTGAACGCAGGGCCTACTGCTCTTGAGAGGGGCAGGCAAGGAAGTGGGAACAAAGCCACAGTATGCTTGGTCAGGGGAGGAAGAGACGGAGGCCCACTGGGTGTTGCAAGTCCCTCAGGCCTGCCCGGCCCCACGCTGAAGGTGGATGAGGGAATCCCTGGAGAAGAGTGGTGACCTGGGAGAGGGTGGGTAACAGGGTCCGAAAAGGAACCAAAATCGATACTGAGGAAGTACCTCGTCTTGATGAGGCCTCCAGCAGAAAAATGCTGGCGTGTGGCCACGGTCGACAATGCCTGACGACCGTCCGGACCTCAGCACCGGGACCCAGCCACCTATCCCCCAGCAGAGGTGCCTGAAGAAAGAAACACTCAGTCTTACGAATGAAAAGCCTGTAGTGTTGTGGCTCTTAATTTTTTTATTTTTCCCAAACGAGTTTAAATATATAACCCTTACTGATTAAAAGTCCCTCAGTAACAGGGTGCCTAAATGCAGTGTGGGATCCTGGATGGGTTCCTGGAACAGAAAAAAAAAATTAGTGGAAAAACTGGTGAAACCCGAATGAAGTCTGCAGTTTAGTTAGCAGCACTCTACCAGTGTTCACGTCTCAGTGTTGACAGATGCCAAACTCAGGAGAAGCTGGGTGAAGGGTCTACGGGAACTCTGTACTATCTTGGCAACTTTTCTGCAAATCTAAAGCTATTCCAAAATAAAAAAGAAATGAGTCAGTGAGAATAAGGAGACAAACATTCAAGAGTCAGGGTTTGTGGATGGTAGCTGGAGTCACCTACTGCATCTTTATTTTGGTTGCAGAAAACCCCAGCACACCCAGAGAAGCTGCAGCCTGTCCAGCCAGCCACCCTGCAGTCTCAGGTTTCCCGCTGAGCAAAGGTGGTCGCAGGAACTTTATTCTGAAGTCTGCACAGAGCCGCAGGAAACCAGCAGCACCGTTTGACGTGTTGTCCCCTGTGTGCTGCATGTTAGTGTAGAACACGTAGACATGCGATTCAGATGCTCCTTTGTAGAACCCCAAAAGCTGTTCTGTGCAACTTGAAGTCCAGTTTGGAAACCTCTCCCTCCCCCTAGGCACGCCCAGTGGCCGGAGCCCCTCCGTTGGAGATGGCCGCACCGCTGGTGCAGGGGCTGCGGTCAGCTCACGTCTTTCCTCCGCAGGAGCTTGACCGGACGTGCCGAGCCATGCAGCAGCGGGTCCTGGAGCTCATCCCCCGGATCGCCGACGAGCAGCTGACAGAGGAGCTGCTTGTCGTCAACGACAATCTCAACAATGTGTTCCTGCGCCACGAACGGTAGGACTCCCTCCCCCGCTCAGCCTCTGTCCACCGGCCCACCTTGTAGCTTCCATTCTTCCCCATCCACACCACCTGATCCTCTCTTCTCCCCTCCCAGACAGCAGGCCTGCCATCCAGTGCATGTGCCCTCAGTGTCTTCTCCCCACATGGGTGTGAACGCCCAGCCTTTCACCCACCTCTGGTCTCCTTCCAGAGTTAGCCCTGCCGCCTGTGTCCCTGCGTCCAGCCCCCTGGAGACAGCAGCAGTGGTGGCTGAGGGCACGGGCCTGCAGCCAGACAGTCCTGGTTCTGTGCTTGCTCACTGCACCTCTGTCTGGCTCTGGGGCCTTGGACGAGTTATTGGCTTAATTAGGGCTCTTTGATTGCAAGCCACACACAGCATTTCTGGCTAACTTAAGCAGAAAAAGAATTTATTGGGAGAATAGCCTCCATTAAATGGGTAACTTTCAGAATCCACAGAAGAGTGAAACAGTGAGGCCTCCCGACAGAGCAGGAAGGACTGATTCCAAGGCAGCTCAGGGGTCCCTGAGGCAGAAACTCCTGGACCATGACCCCAGGGTGTCGCCATCAATAAGTGGACTTCAAACGCCTGCCCCCCTCAGATCCGTCTACCCAAGAGTCAGCTCCCAAGAGAACTCTGATCGGCTCAGCTTTGTTGCGCCCACCAGTTGGGGGTGGGAAGAGGTCCCTCGATGGCAGTCCCACCAGGATCATGGGAAATGGGGAAAGAGCACTTCCCAGAGGAGCACTTCGATCTGTTTCAGAAGAAGGGAGTAGGGGTGCTGGGCCTGCAGTGACACGTCCGCACACTCTCTCTGTATCTGTAAAACGAAGCTCGTGGTTCTTGCAGGTAACAGAGTCCACGCGGTAATGCCCGTCAAGCACTTAGCCATTGGGGTGTCTGGTACAGGATACCAGTTATTCTAGCCTCATCCAGCCCCTCGTTAATTTCGTGTCCTTATCCACTTGCTGCGTGATTCTAAATTAGTTGCGAGTGGGGTGGGGCTGCTGCCGACCACGTCTGCCCGGCCTCTCCTGCTGGTCGGCTCAGTGGAATTAAGAGTCCCTTCCCTGCCATTCCGGGACGTGGGCTGTGAGGTGGCCCAAGGGCCCAATCTGGGAGTGACCGGGACCTCTCTGACACCCTCACTCATCAGGCCTGGCATTTGCCTGGTGCTTTCCAGTTCCCAGTCACTCATACTCAGTGTCTTTGCTGATCCTCACATCTGAGAGGCAGGTTCCCCGTCACTCCCTTTTTAATAGACCAGGAGACAGAAGTTCAGAAGTCATGTAATTGACCCACGGTCACACAGTAAGTGTCAGGGCCAGAACTCGGACAGATCCCAGACCAAGGTCTTCTTGGTCCACCCACCAGCCCCTTGGCTGTCTGGGGTAGTCGCAGGGGCTCCATACAGCAGTGTGAGAGGTGTGTGTCCTCCTTACGCCGCTTTAGAGAGCCACTGACACACACAAATACGCAAGTATATAACCCACGTTTCATAAAACGGCACTTCCCTTGACTATGTGCAGGGCAGTCCCACTTTCTTTTCTGTTGTAGCCTGTTCCTGTGTGTATGCTTCATGCCGGTTGTGACTAACGTGGCCAGATAATTTATAATCAAATTGGGTCACTCTTGCAAGTGAAAGAGGGGCACCGTTAGTCATTCTCTGGAGGCAGCAGACGTGAACTGGATCCGGGCAGGGCCGACAAGGACATCTCGTCACTGAACGTGACCCCCACGTTGGTGTGGAGCCCCGCCATGCAAGAGCTCTGCCGGCTGTGCTGAGGGGCCGCTCTCAGTCCGTCTCCCTGACTCAGGTCTTTTCTGTCTCGTAGGTTTGAACGGTTCCGAACAGGCCAGACCGCCAAGGTAAAAGGCTTCTCCTTGGTAACTAGATCATGCCCTTGTGCGTGGGAAGAAGGAGGGCTGTGGCCACCTCCTTCCCCACATATTCTGGACAGGATATGCCTTCTGATCCAGGCTCACAGACAAGTCCCCTTCTCACTTTTTATGTCATTGTCCCTTTAAAGTAAATAAGGCTCTGCCACCAGCTGATGCCCAAGGGTCTTCTCACCCTCCCAGGGGGTGCAGCTGAGGCAGAGGCCCAGGGCAGGAAGAAAAACTCCATGACTCCCAATCGTAGCTGCTAGGGGCCCTGGTGACAGATCCTCAGGCAAAGAATGCAAGTGCCAGTGCTTTGGGGCAGAAGGGAGTGAGGCTGCAGGCAGGGAGGATGATGGTGGCATCTCCCTTTCCCCCAGGCCCCAAGTGAGGCCGAGGCGGCAGCTGACCTGATGGACATGGGCACTGACCCAGCAGCCCCCAGCAGCCTCTCATCCCAGCTGGCGGGAATGAGTAAGTGCCGTGTGGGGGCTCTGGCCAAGGGTACGCTGTGCTACTGTGCGCACCCCTGCAGTTCTGGGGTGCCCTCCTATTGTGCAGTTGGAGCTGGGGCACCAACAGCAGAATGTTGGCCCAGACCCTACCTCACCAGGGTCCCAAGCTGAATCTTGCTGCAAGATTGAACACCCAGGACCAAACATATGGGACTCTCCCTCACAGCCCCACAACTCCTGAGCCCCCTCAGATCTCAGAAATCCCGCTGTTCTGTGACTGCCTCTCCACACTGAATTCTCCATGGCCTGAATCAGCTGGGTGAGCTTGGGCAAGTCACTTGTGCGTCCTGTGCCTCTCTTTCCTTTGTAACAGGGGCAGGACTGAAGAAGCTCATACAGGAAACAGGCTGAGATGAGTCCCAGGCCCAGCGCACTCCTGATACATGTTAGCAATTTTATCATCAGTATGAGTGGTTTTAGCGTTGTCAACTGCCTGCTTCATGCCGAGCCTTAGGAAATAATGGAGAGAGAGGAGGTGACATGCCCACGGTCCCTCAGCCAGCAGGTGGCCTGCCCCATCCACACGCCCACTCTGTCCACCCCCCTCCATGCCGCTTCTCCAGAGCCCACCCTGGGCCTGGCAGGGAGCAGCTCGACTACAGCTCAGTGTACAAGGACAGCCGGGCGGACCCTTCACGTGGCCTCTCTGTTCCTGCAGACCTGGGCTCCAGCAGCGTGAGGGCTGGCCTGCAGTCCCTGGAGGCCTCTGGCCACCTGGAAGACGAGTTTGACATGTTTGCGCTGACACGGGGCAGCTCGCTGGCTGACCAACGGAAAGAGTGAGTGGCTGGGCCGCACCCTGCTCCCCTGCAGCTGGGCTGCTTCCTATCAGGGGAGAGCCTCTCTCCAGCCCCTGAACCCCGCTTGTTGGTGGGCACACCGTGTGGAAAGGCACAGCCCCCTGCCTGCACCTTCTCAGGATGGCAGAGTTCCTATCCCCTAAGTCAGTCCCGCACGGCCTGGAGAGCCCTGTGGCCAAGTGGCGGACTGTGTGTCCCACAGGCAGGCTGGGTGGGGGAAGGGATGCCTGTCGGTTGATGAGCAGCTGTGTGCCAGAATGTTACAGTCTGATCAGATGAGGAAACTGAGGCACTGAGAGGCTGGGTCTGCTGCCCCTGCTCAGGCAGCTAATGTTTGCCAGTGCTGGGGTGGGAACCCAGGGCTGTCCGGTTCCAAAACACAGTGTCTCCAGCAGGGCCTAGCTCCCCACTGCCCTGTCCACCGTGTACCACGCCCTCCGGGGCAGGTGGGGATGGTTCCTGATAAATTCTCAGCGGCTTGTCCAGTCATTTCTGATGTTCCATAGCCATCCATAATTTCCAGAGAAGTCCTTGTTGCCCAACTTGGGTCTCCCCGCTCTGCACTAGAGCTGGAATTCTGTCCTTCCCTGGGGACTGCCCATTTTCAGGGAGATGCTTTCAGCAGCCGAGGCTCGTGGCCAAGTGTTCGCCAGGGATGGCCTCTTGCCTCGACGTCCCAAGACTGGCTCCATACAGGCCTGTCAGGGAAGCAGTTTGCTTGGGGTTGTTGTCAACCCCTTGCTTATGATCTCGGGGCTGAGCTCTGGGCAGCCAGGCTGTACAACCAAGGAAAGCTCTGGATTAAGAGACCTTCCCAGCAGACCCCCTGGCTCCTCATGGTCATTCTGGTGTCTTTGGGAATGTCCATGGGCCTCCAAAGGGCCCAGGGATACCCTCTCCACTCTGGTAAATCCAGGTCAAATCTGACAGGCTGCCGCCATCCGGGGCCATGGGTTGCTCAGAGCCCTGCCCCTTGGCCATAGCCAGCCCCACTGTGAGCCACGTCTTTAGTCTAGGCAGCTGTGTACGCCCCAGCCCAGGTGCTCTGGGAGCACTGGCTCACGGTTGCCATAGAGTTAGGGGCTCTGTGAGGCTGCTGTGCCGGTAGAGGCTAATGAGTCCGAAGGGACTTGCAGCCAGGAGGGCGCCCCACCCATATCGGCCCCGGCAGGCAGCACCTGGCCCCCTCGCCAGCCCAGCTGAGACTTACTGTTGCACTGTCACTCCTTTGGGGAGTGGGGCCTTGAGGGGCGGAGGAAAGCACCCCCGCATGTGCTCTCCAGGCCTGCGGTCTCGCGGGGAGAGGAACGTGCGTATGGACCACTGCCGTGTGGCTCTGAGTGCTATCCTGGAGTGGGTACCAGACCCTGCCGACAGAGGAGGTAGCGTGCAACTCTGCAGAAAACGCTCAGGGCTGGGCACCGGGGTGGGGGAGTGAAGATGGCATTTCAGGCCATGGGAACAGCGTGTGCAGAGGCTCAGAGGCAGGGGAGAGCCTGAGACGTCGGGGACAGGGCAGATGTGCTGTAACGACAACAGGTACCTTCTCAGGTCCTGGGCTCTCCTGCAGGCCCTCCCGGGGTGTTGGTCTCCACCCCAGCAGAAAGCGCGGGCAGTGTCCCCTAGCATGGAGTTCCTCTTTCCTTTGTTCTCCTGCCTGGCAGTCCCTCCTTTACGCTTCAGCTGGATCTTCTAGCCCTGGTCGCCTGGCTGACCTTTGGACTGCCCACCTTGCCCTGTCCTCTGGGGTTCTTGAATTCTCCGAGGCCTTTTCTGCCCACCTGGTGTCTGGCCCACGCCTCCCTCCGACCTGCGCCGCCTCTGCCTCTGCTCGCCAGGAAGCCAGCTCCTTGTCAGCCCCCCTGTTTCTGCCCCAGCCCTGACCGCAGCTCAGAGAATCACTGTCCCTCCAGCTGAGCCGGCTCTTCCACTTGGGACGCCAAGGGGAGTGATGGGGGCATCTGGACCAGCAAGAGTCAGGGGTGGCTTAGCCAGGCTTGGCTGGAAGTGAGGGTGCTCTTCCTCGACTTCTGCCACATCATCAGCCCAGGGACATACTCCACTGTCTTCTCCAAGAAGCACTAAGTGTCACCCCAACTGGCCCCAGGTCCCGCCCTGCCCACCAGCCTCGCCAGGACCGTCTGAGGAGCGGCCCTCCTCCCTCCTGCGCTGGGCGTGGGGCAGCAGACACTGACCCAGGCTCTGCAGCCCCTTGTGGGCCGCGTGGGCCTCCTCCATCGGGGTGTGCTCGCCCTCCACTGCGGCAGGCAGGGCCCAGGGGACGCTGAGCTGGGCCTTCGGGGCTGTGTGGGCGTGAGAGAGACAAAAGCAGGGGGGGTGGGGAGTAATTAGGGAAGAACACATAGTTCTTCTGAGTGAGGGGAAGCATCGGTTTCTGTATGTTCCTAGGCTGGACACGCCTTATTCTGCCTTTTCTACACGCACCTGCCATGTCTTAGATACGGGACAGCAGCGTGGCTGCTTCCATACCTGGGCGAGCAGGCCTTCCCTGGGTCAGGACGTGCTGCTCAGTCTTGGCGTCACTCCCTCCTCACCAGCTCCCATTGCCCAGGTTAACCAGGGCCGCTAAGCTGCTCTCCAGAAGGGCGTGAGCCCACCCCACCCAGGCCTCAGGCTGTCTCCAGCAAGGCCTTGCACACTGTCCCTAGCCACTTGCTGTGGATGAACTAGTTAATGACTGCAGTCTTTTGGCTAAGTCCACATCCTGTGGGAGGAGCAGACGGCAGTGCTCTTCAAAATGGCTCCCTGGGAATTTGGGAGTCTCATTCAAGAGGCTCCTTTAAGTGCCAGTCCACCCCATTCCCAGGAAGGCACCTTGGCATGGCAAGAGTTAAAAGTGATATGGTCCCAGTTCCTGAAGTCTCGAGCTGGATCACCCCTGGCTTCAGCAGAGCATGAGGTGCTCCCGGCCACACCTGGAGGGAGAGCCCTCAGCCCTAAGTGTGCAGGGCTTTCCCTTTGAGGCTGGAATTCTGTGGCTCACTTCTTCACCCAAAGCTGAACTGACCTGGTGCTAGGTCTCACCCTCTCCGCTGGGAGTTCAGAGTGAGAATAACAGAGCTTTCCAAGCATCAGGGCTGTGTGCCCGATGCCTCCCCTGCACAGCCCCCTGCAGCAGCCAGGAGAGACACCCCAGTCCCTCGTTAGCGCAGTTTTTCCTCCCACTCCTGGTTTATTCTCTTGCTCCCAAGACTTCACCCCAAACACAGCAAACACTGCCTTCCCTGTCCTCGTCTGCCCCTCCTGCCCCTCCCAGCGCAATGGCCTTGCTTGCATTTCCTCCCAGCTGCTGGTCCTCCTACCCTGCCTGCTGGCTAGTGTCCCCCAGAGGACATTTAGAATCATCCTCCTGCATGCTGCTGGCAGGGGAGGGGTGGGGAAATCTCCTGCTGGGGAGTCAGTGCTAGACGGCGACTCACCCAGAAGTCTTACGTTTGTTTTCGCAGCAGAATAGAATTCACTGTTCAAATGCAACCTTATATAGAACCACGGTTTATAAAACTGTGAAATGGGAGCTGCTCAAAAAAAAGAGTCTGTGGCTATGAATTCTCCATGAGCATGGTGTCCCTGGCACTATTTCTCATCCTTGGAGTTTGGTGATAGCCGTTGGTGATCCTGGTCTTGGTCTTTGGCTGGCAACTCCATCCCTCCCTTCTCCAGTGTTGCTGCTGTCTGTCATGCAGGTCACATGTCTGATCCCAGTTCCCAGAGGCAGGAACTGAGGCCCTCTCCACCATTCCCAGGCAGGCCTGCAGGGTAGGAGCCCCTCCTGGGGCCTGAGCCACCCCTGCCCGGGCATGACCCACGTCCACACGGGATGTGAGTCCCGCTCGCCCCGCCCACCCCCCCATTCTCGTGTCAGCTGGATGCTTGGTACAGCAAGGGCAGCATCTAATGGGCATGGTGGCCTCTGTGTTTCAGGGTGAAATATGAAGACCCGCAAGCAACGGATGGGCTGGCTGGAGCCCTAGACGCCCGGCAGCAGAACACTGGAGCGGTGAGCAGAGGGGCCCTGCTGCCACCCTGGGGCCTATCCGGAAGGGGGCACGGGAGTGCTTGCCCACCGGCCCCTGTGTGCCGGGCAGTGGTTGGCACATCCACAGCCCTCTCCTCACATGGTTCTCTAGTTGGCCTTTTGTAGCTAATGTGATTATTCCCATTTCACAGCTGAGGAAACTTCCTCAGAGAAGTCGAGTCATCTGCACAAGTTCACACAGCAAGAAAGGGTCAGAGCAAGGACTCAGACCTGAGTCAGGGACAGGGAGCTGGAGTCCAGCAGCCTGGGTTCCACCCCCGCCGCCCACTCTTACCAGCTGTATGTCCTTAGGGAGGTTACTACTTTTCTGACCCTCAGTTTCTCCCTCTGTACATTGGGGCTTATAGGAGTGCCTGCAGTGGTTTATAGTAGGATGCGTGAGAGGGTGCTTGACACAGAGTAGAGCTCAGTCAATATGCTACCTCAGTGCCTCTCTGGAGACCCGTTATTTGCAGGAGTGTGGACAGAGCAGGACAAGAGAACAGACCCTAAAACCACAGGGAGGCATCTTACGGCATCATTTTAGTTCCCTTTACTTGCTTGACTGTGTACTGAGTGACAGCCACGTGCCCGGCACTGAGCCCACTGTGGGTGACCCTCCCCCTTGGCAAGAACTCCAAGTACAGTTCTCGTGCCTTTGAATTGATTCTGGATGCCTTTCGGGCGGTGAGACTCGCTGTCCCAGCAGGTGGACAGAGCAGCTCCTCGGGAGGCGGTTAGGAACAGCCGGACCTGGGAGTTGGACAGGAGGGGCCATGAAGAGGGTGGCAGAGGAGAGGGCTGGCGACAGCACAGGGCTTCTGAGGCCAGGGTGGGACTGGGTGGTGTGAGACAAAGCCTGAGGGGCAGCAGGGACCAAAGGGCCTCAGGGGCCCCTGGGAGGACTGTGGGTTTTATCCTGTGCGAGGTGGAAGCCATGGACAGTCTTGAGCAGGGGGCACATTTCTCTGACTTGCGTTTTAGAAGGATCCAGAGTGGGAGCTGGGAGAGCAGTTAGGAAGCTGTGGAAGCCGCCCAGTCTACCAGGTGGAAAGTCCCAGCGACTCCCATCTCAGGAGTCAGCCCCAGGTCACAACAGGGCAAGACGAGGAATGCTGTGGAGGCAGGACCTCCTTGATGTGTGGCGTGACCTGCCACTGAGCAGAGCACGTTCCCGCACTGTGCCTTGAGCTTCCCGTCGTTTTTCTTTGTAAGCAGTCGTTTGTCGAGTCCGTGCTGTGTGCCAGGCCCTGTGCTGAGCACTCCACGTCCCCCCTTTGCCGAGTTATCACACAGCCCCTATGGCATGTTGTTGTCCCCTCTTACCAGTGAGAAAGCTGAGTCCCAGAGAGGGGTGGAGGGAGACCCCAGTTGTGACGTCCTCAGCGCGGGCCTGGACACAGCCTGGTGGAGTAGTGAATCTGCACAGCACTGCCATGGGGGCGTCCCCACTGACACGGGAGCACACCCAGGCTGAGAACTGGCAGGCGGGTTGCCCGAGGTCTCACGGCTCTTGGTCTGCCCAGCTCCGAAGCCAGTGCTGTAACAAGAACCCCAAGGGCCTGCAGAGCTAAGGAGCAGAGGTGAACGCTCCCTGCTCGGCCTGCCTTTTCCAAGGGCCATCATTCTGGCTCCAGGGATCCGGATGATGCGGACGCTCAGGAAGCCTGCTGAAAGCACTGCCCTCTCGGGCCGCCTGGCCTCACGTGGCAGAGCTGGCTCCACAGCCCAGCGGGCAGCATGCCCAGCCAACCCTCCCTGTTGCAGTTGAGGGAGCTGCAGCCCAGAGACGGGTGTCACTTACCCAGGGGCACACAGCAACTCAGGGGCACGACTAGAACTAGAACCCAGGCCTCCTGGCTCCTACACCACCTTGCAGTTAGCTGCAGGGAGGAAACACATGCACATCTACTGCAGGAAAGCAGAAGCTGATAAATTATCGCTCACTCATCCCTGATAACTTGAGAGATGTAAGTGACCTCCACCAGATCAGGGTACGACTTTCTCAAAACCGTGTCAGTGAACACCTGCTTCCAGGGTGCTTAAGTCTGGCAGGATGTAAGGCTCTCTCCCACGAAACCATCAGAACATGATTCCAAGCAGCCAAATACGGAATGGAATCAAGCGCCAACTCTGTGGGCAGCCGGTGTGTGCCCTGGGGTTCACAGTCCTGTGCTGTGGGGATGCTGAACAGCGAGTACCAGGCCCCGTGCCGGCTCTGTCCTGGGTGGGGGAGGCAGAACTCGAGTCTCCCTCTTCCACCAATCTGTTTGCCCATCGATAAACATGAGGGGACCAACGTTCCTGGGATGCCCATCAGAATCCCATGAGAGCCAGTGGCCTGGCTGAGGGCTGCCTGCTCCGCCATGGCTCAGGCCCACCCTCGGAGATCTTTTTGGAAAGGGAGAAGGAGCCTTGCCCAGCCCATTCAGGACTCTGGAGTCCCAGGGCTGGTGTGTTCACTCCATAGTGAGACACCCTCTGCTGCTTCCTGTCCCTGCTCACCTGCCACCACACCCACCACATACCTACACGCGCGCACACACACCTGGGCCTCCTAAGGTGGTAGCAGGCCTGCTGACCCAAAAGGAGCGTCCCTGTCGGAAAAGGCTGCCAGCGCACCAGTGGCTCTGGCCCGGCCCTTCCCGCCACCCTCAGCGAGACCCTTTCTCACCCAGATGGGAGGCAGCAGCGAGAAGAGCCTCAGTGACTGGATGGTGAGACAAGGCATGGTGAGGAGGGGCCAGGCCGGCCACCCGGAGAGCTGGGGCTGCCGCTCGCAGGGGTCCCGCCCGGGGGGTGCTGTCGGAGGGAGGGGGACCGTTAGACCCAGAGGAGAAGGAGGGGCGCTGTGCATGCCCGGGCAGCCGAGGGCCTGCTGGGCCCAGCCCAGCGTTCAGCACGGTCCCACTCCCTCTGCTCTTGCTTCCACGGCCCCCCGGTGCCCACTTCTGGCTCCTGACTTGGAAGCAAGGCCCAGACAGCCCCTCGGGCAGCTGAGAGGTGGCCGGGGCTCGCCTGGTTCTGGGGCGAGCACCAGCAGAGAGCCGAGCGGGAGAGGGAGCTGGTGTGGACGGCCCAGGGCACTTGCTGCTGCTGTTGCTGGTGCTGCTGGTGCTGCTGGGAAGCGGCTCCTGCTCTTCTCTGGGCTCTCCTGCTGCCCACTGGCCTCCTCAGCTGCTGGGGACAGAGCTTGGGGACTGAACTGGCTTGGTTGGAAAAAGACTGTCTCTCGCTCTCTTTCCCAAAGTAACTCAGTGGTAACTAGCATTTCCTGAGCGTCTACTCTGTGCCCGGCACTGTGCTAAGCTCTTTATAGCCATCATCTCAGTTAATCCTCACAGCAATCCGGACGGTAGGTACTATTGTTATCCTCCCTAAAGATGAGCCCAGTGAGGTTCAGAGAAGTTAACCTGCCCAGGGTCACACTGTATTAAGGGGGCCGAGCCAGAATTCACTTTCTCTGACACCAAAGTCTGTGCCCATTACCTCCACTGGATTCTCCCTCTGAAGATGCTGTTAGAGAAGGAAGCCCCAGAACCCAGCCCCTGTGTGGGAGCCTTTGTGGTAGAGCCCATGTCTTTGTGGCCCAGAGTGAAGTGTCCCCGTGCATGGCCACAGTCCGAGTCCACCAGCCTGGCCTTGTCTGGTCATCTGGGCACTTCCTCCACTCCAGCCCTTCTGTGGCCCTCTCCACCGTGAACCCTGGGTCTGAGGAGGTGCGGGAGACCCGGTGGTCCCTGGCCCACAATGGTGCCCCTCCTGGACCTTGATGGCCGGCCCTGCCTGGGCTTTGCATGTTCATCTGTCAGGGGCTCCTCAGCACCTGGGCCTGAGCACACAGCAATTCCCTCCAGCCTGGAGCTCCCCCGCCTTGGTGTGTGGGAGCCGGGGGTCCATTCTCTCCTCGTGACCCTGCTCCAACTGTTCAGAGCCCCCTCCCTGTCCCCTGCTGAGCCTGCTGGCCCTGCACCCCCCTTGCCCACGGTGGGCAAGCCTGGCACAGTGGGCAGAATTGTGGGTCCCAGGCCCCTGGGCAGGAGCCATCCTGGAGGGGATGCCAGGATCTCACCCCGCCAAAGGGGGCAGGGCAGGTCTGACAGGCCCCATTTTATAAGGAAGGAGGCTCAAGGATGGGTGACTGCCCCAGGCCACCCGGCCGGTGGACCCCGAGCTGGCAGGGCCTTCCACCTTGTCAGCCAGTGCACTGCCCCTCCCTGCCTCACCCTCTGCCCTTCCTTCCAGATCCCTGTCACCCAGGCCTGCCTCATGGAGGACATCGAGCAGTGGCTGTCTACTGATGTGGTAAGTCGGGGCCCACCCAGCCCAGAGGCGAAGGCAAAGGCCCCCTCCTCACCCACCCGACAGGGGGCTCCCGTTTTTCTCATGAGGAAGTGGCATGGGGCAGGGTGAACAGCTGTGAGGAGGGGAGCGTTAATGTGGGACACCTCAGCAGCTGGAAGTGTCCCACCTCCTGCCACCCGCCGACCTCCTTCTGGGCACTTCCCTTCAGAGAAGGACCACACCCCTCGCAGCTGCTGGAACTTGCTCGCATGTCGGGTCCCAGGGTGTGAGCCCACTGTAGGGAAGAAGGGGTGGGCTGAGGGTACCCAAGGAGCCACGATAGCGCTAGCTCTGCTCCTGCAGTGGCTCAGGTGACCTCCCGCCACTCAGAGGGAAATGCCACGGCAGCCCCATCTTACAGATCAGGAGACTGACGGGCAGCTGTGTCGAGGGGTGCCGGGCCCGGAGGAGGCAGGCAGGGCCCAGATGGTCTCCAGAGCCCTGGCGCCCCCCAGTGAGCGGAAGGGCAGAGTCACCCTCAGCCCCCCATCCAGGGCTCCCTCCCCAGCGCCGCAGTCCCCCTCTCTGGGTGCCAAAGACCCAGTGCCTGCGCTCTGCAGGCCCAGAGGCTGCCTGCTGCGGGTGGCCAAGACCGTGTTTCTGCCCCAGGTCAGGCGAGGGTCTATCTGTTTCTGTTGGGCGGCAGAAGGCCTACCCCCTCCCCAGCCCACAATTTCAGCGTGCACGGCCTCAGTCTCTGGGTGTTGGCCTGTCCACTGCTCTAGCCATGAAAGGCACTAGCGTTCTTGGAGGACCCTCTGGGCACCACACCCTGTGCTTAGCGCCCTGCATGTGGTATTCCCTCATAGCTTCCCCGCAACCCGGTGAGTTTACCGAGCTGAAAACCGAGGCTCAGAGAAGTTAGGTGATACCCAAGGCGTGGGCTCAGGAAGGGGTAGGGGCCGAGGTTCAAGTCCTGGGCCCACTTAGAGCCTGAGTCTGAGGTTCAGCAGCTTGACCCCCACCCTGCCCGCCCCGCTGTGCCAGAAGGACTGGCCATTCTCCTGCAGCTGACTTCTGCCTCCTGCTTTCTCAGGGGAATGATGTGGAAGAGCCCAAGGGCGTCACCAGTGAAGGTAGGAGGCCCTGGCCTTGCCCATCCCCCACCGCACGCCCGCTGCTCTGGCTTGGAGCCCACCCCCAACTTCTCTCTCCTTACTCTAGAGTTTGACAAGTTCCTGGAAGAACGGGCCAAGGTGGCCGATCGGTTGCCCGACCTCTCCAGCCCCTCAGCCGAGGGGCCCCCGGGTCCCCCTCCTGGCCCTGCCCCTCGGAAGAAGACCCAGGAGAAAGATGATGACACGCTGTTTGCCTTATGAGTGTGGAGTCTGGCACCCTGCAGCCCAAGCCCCCGCTGCTCCCACAACCCTTGGCTGGGGCCCCTCTCCCTCCTTCGGTGTTCAGGCTGCTTTGAGGGTGGCTTGTTTCCCCTTCTCTCCTCTTCGAGAATGGGGCCGACCCAGCTGCAGCTGGGCCAGTGGGGAGGCAGCCAGATGCATTGGGGGAACAGGTCAGTTCTACATTGAGATCCTGGCTGCTCCTGCCTCTTTCCCCACCCCAACCGACCACTACGACTTTGCTGAGACTGAGAGGCCCCAGGACAGACAGGCCAGCTGCTTAGTTGCCCCAGGTGACTCTCCCTGCCCTGGGTGATCCCCTCCCTGGACCCATCCCCAGAGGAACCCTCTGCAGAGCCCATGCTGCCAGTCGAGGCCTGGCTGGAGGCAGCAAAAGCTCTGTCACAGCCTCTGGTCCATTCCTCTGCTGCTGCTGCCTCCCAGGGCTCGCAGGCTTTGGGCAGCTGTTGGGGGCAGGGTGTGTGGCCCTCTGCTGAGCTGCACGTTGTCCGGGTACGAAGCTGCACATGGTTGGGGCGAGACCGCAGCAGCCCCAGGCTGCCAGGGGAGGCTCCCGGGATGCCTGGAGCACCTGTGGCCCCACCACCTCCTCCACTGCCTTCACCTCCGTCCTTCCTCTGTTCCTCCCAGGCAGGGCTCCCTCCGAGCACTGAGCCCACCCACCTGCTGGTGATCTTGTGCTGGGAGAGGTGCCGTTTGTATCCCCAAATAAAGGTGGAAAACCACCCTGCTAGCAGCGTTGTTCCGTCTCCAGGTGGGAAGAGACTTCTTGGCTCACCAGGGGCAGGGACTACTTGGGCTGGGCTGGGGGCCGTCCAGGAGACAGGTATCTGCAGATGGTACAGGTGGAGCAGCAGGACTGGGCCCCGGCAACGCCTGTCACCAGGCACAGACAGGTGCGGCCCTCACACCTCCGCACAGGCTCCAGCCACGATTCCCCTGCCACGAGGCCCATGGCTCTCCATCTGAGTGATGTCCCTCCATCCTCAGGGCACCTTCACACTGCTGTCCCCCTCAGGCCAGCTCCTGCCCTCCAACAGTAGCGCAGTCGTCACCAGGAGGGAGCACGTGTGGACGGTGTCGGCGTGTTGGGAGGAGACCGGCCGTCCGGTCTGAGGCCCAGGTGCAGACGCTGTACTAGACTTCCCACGGGCTCATGGCATCGTCACAACAACCCTGGGTGAAGTCAAGTTACCGTCTCGTTTTACAGACAGAGTCCGTAACTCAGTGGGTCGTGTGAGCTACCCAGCCCTCGGTGGTGGAAGGGAAGGGCTGGTGTGGGGCTGGAGCGATTGACCTGCTTGTGAGGTCAGTCCGTGGAGGAGAGGCAGTCGGAATGCCTGCGTCCAGGGGCCCTGGGTGGCTGCAGTGTGGCCCCCCGCAGCAGGTGGGCAGCACCTGTGTTTGAAGTGTGGCCTGGAGCTGGGGGCACAGGAGACCAGGCCCCGCCAGCCCTCCAGGGGTGGGTGGTGTGAGGAAAGCAGCTCGGGGGCAGGTAGCTGGGACCCTGGGTTTGTACACCTCTAAGCAGGGGAGGGAGTGGAGTGTCTAGGCCAAACTTTGGAGCTACAGATGGGCCAGGCCCCGAGGAGGGTGGCGCCTGAACCTTCCGTCTGACCCATTTCCCCAACCTAAACCACCTCTTCTATTTTGTGGGGGGGGGAGGCGGGGCGCTGGGGAGCAGCTATCCCACTGTCTCCCAGGCAGCCGGCCAACAGCCTGGTGAGCCGGCTGCTTGGGAGATGGAGGTGCCATGGCCCTCGCCCTCCAGTCATACCAGGCTCAGCTGTCCAAACGAGGTTCCCTCGTACGTCCTGCATCACTTAGCTTTGTGTTAGCCCAGGTAACGGGAAGGCTCTGGCTTTACCAAGGTGTCAAGCCTCTCTCAGACATGAGCCAGCCTTGCCTGGTTACTCGGCAGGTGACCCCGCCTGCTGTGCTGAGGTGGTGGAGCCTTGCCAGCCCTGCCCAGAGGCTGCTCTTACCCAAAATTGGGAAGAAGCACAGTTCACGTACCATGCGTTCATCTGGCCATGTCCGCCCCCTGCGTCCACTAGGGCAAGCACCCCCTCCATCCTACCCTGCTTTAGATCACCCAGAAGTGGCCAGGGGCTGGACTGTGGCCCTACTCTGTGCAGCCCCGCTGCCTCCTCCAGGTAGCACTGGTGACAGCAGATTGCTTCCAGAGGCCCCTTCCTGGGCTACTTGTGGCTGGCTGCCGGCAACAACACACCAGCCCACCCGTGTGTGGAGCAGCAAGCCGCATTTTGTGCTTGATTCCACGTGTGGATGAAGACCCCTAAGCGCCTGGGTATTGTGACCGTCTTTCTCTCAATATGCGCTTTTTCAGCTGGTTCCTGTGTGGCTGAGGGTGGCAGCGTCTGGTGGCCAGATGAGAGGACTATGACAGTGACAGATCAGTTTCTCCCCCACTCCTGGCTTGGCTGGACTGCGGCCGCACACGCACGCTTATACGCACACCCGCTCGCTCACACCTCTGGGGCGAGCTGTCCCGGAGAGCTGGGACAGGTGTACCAGCTGCGCACAACGGCGTCACGGGCGTCTGTGCCAGCGCCCGACCCGGGACCCTGGGAGACGGGGGCCGTCTCAGGACGGGGGTGTGGCTCCTCCCCTTCCCCTGCAGCCCCAGCTCTCCCAGACCCTCCCCGGCCTGCGGCCCACATTCAGCTGAGCTCCTGCCGTGTGCCATACCCTGGCCCGGGCCTTTCCACACCTCACAACAGCCCTGTGGGGTCGGCGGTTTGGCCCACTGCTTACAGCTGGGGAAACTGAGGCTCAGGGAAGCAGGGACTCGCCTGGTCACACGCTAGGTGATGGAAGAGCAGGACTCGATCCTCTCCTCCCTGCCTGCCCGACACACCCACGGCCCGCCTCCCTCCTCCTCCCCAGCACCGCTTCACTGGGGGCCCTGAGGGGAGCCGTGACCTCAGAGGACCCTAGCCCAGAGTCCAGGGCACCTGCAGGGCTCCAGGGGCTCATGGCCCGTTAGTGGCTAAAGCTGCCAAGTCTGTGTTCTTTGCTGTGTGTGGGCTCTCCTGATACCAGCGGCACACCAGGCGTGGTTCTAGGTGTGGAGAACACAGGTGAATGCAGCAAGTGCCAGCCCTGGTGGGCCCCATGGGAGAGAAGGGGCAAGGAACACAGACGTAAATTCCAAAACGCCACCTGCTCTGAGATGAAGGAAAGGGAAACTGAGGCAGCGTGCTGGGAGCTGGGAGGTCAGAGAGTGCCCCCGAGGAGGGCCGAGGCTGGAGAGGTAAGGTGGGGCCGGCAGCAGAGAGCCAGGCAGGACGGGGGACGTGGAGGTCCCGGGGCTTCCCCTGGAGGGGGCAGCACTGGGCGCCCCCTCTTAGGGGCCCTCCGCCAGAGAGAAGGCTGCTGGGGCTGGGGGCGGGTGAGGAGCGCTGGCCAGGCTGGGTTCCTGGCAGCAGGTGGGTCTGAGGCCGCAGGCCCTGGGCCCATCACTCAGCAGCGGCAGCAAGTTGGGCAGCCCCACATAAAAGAGGGCCAGCTGCTGGCAGGGGCCTCGGGCTGCAGCTGGGGAACAGGATTAATGGCGCCAGCAGCTTCTGCTGGGCCCAGCTGCCTCTGAAGGTGGCACTGGGCCAGGTACAGGAGGTTGAGTTGAGCCCAGCTCGTAGGCAGGGGAAGGGGCTGCTGGGAGGCAGCCCCTGGGGCCTGCGAGAAAGCGCCTGGAAGCCTCTTGGCAGAGCCTCCACCCCCTCCACTCCCTCCTGGCTTCCCTGGGCCACTAGAACCCACGCTGGGCCTGGACACGGATTCCCCCACCACCACCTAGACTCTGCCCCCACATCAGCATCCAACCTCTCCAATCATCAGATACCAGTTGTGTGCTGCTTAACAACGGGGACACATTCTGAGATGTGTCCTTAGGTGACTGTGTTGTTGTGGGAACATCACAGAGTGCACTTACACAAACCCGGATGGTAGAGCCCACCACACACCTAGGCTCTACGGTACTGGTCTTGTGGGACCACCGTCGTATACACAGTCTGTTGACCAAAACGTTGTCATGCGGTGCAGGAATCTAACAGCACATCCTGGCGTGGCCACTTCTGAGCTGTGTGATCTTAGGCAAATTACTTAACCTCTCTGTGCCTCCGTTTTCTCACTTGTAAAATGGGCAATAGCAGTGACATCTTCATAGGGCTGTTGTGAGGATAAACTGAGAAGACAAGTAGTACAGCACCCGTCAAGAACCTAATCCATATGTGTTGTCACTGATGGTGCCCTCTCCATCCAGAGCGGCCTCTGCTCCAGCCCCCGGCAGGACACTGCCCTGCCAACTCCTGGGTAATTTCAGGGACCCCAGCTCTGCCTCCAGCGTTGCCTTCCCAGCTCTCAAGGGTGCTCGCTGCCTCCAGGACAACCACAGTTCCGACGACAGTGCCTATGCCACTGCCCTGGGCTTGGGCTGCTGCCCCTAAAGGGGGCCATGGCGCCTTGACTGAGCAATGGGACTGAGCCAGGGTCCGCCTGGTGGTCCTGGATGGGCCCTGCTCACTTAAGAGTGGGCACTTTGGGAAGCCCCGCCCTCTCCGGAGGTAGTGTGGGCTCAGGTCAATGCCTCACAGTGGCCACGAGATGGCAGCAGCATTGCATACACTGGGGCCTGTAGGAGCAAGCAGGGGTGGGGTCCACCACCACCAAGTCAGCCCCCCTGCAACCATGCGCTGACCCCAGGAGAGGAGGGGGTGGCCAGTTCCAGCACTGCCCCTCTCTTCCCTCGGTGCTGCTGGACAGGGGTCTCTGTCCCCAAACCCAAGCCCCACGCAAACTCCCTTGCACTCTGCCTGCCCACCCCACACACACACTTCTCTGTCTGGTGGGGCTGGGAGCTTGAGGCGGGAGGATCTGCTGTGAGGCTGGACAAGTCAGCCCTTCATTGTACCCCCCACTCACAGTGGTGTGGGGAGTAAGCTGGGGGGGCCCCTGTGAGCGCCTCCTCCGAGGCACGGGTGCGCTCATGCCTATGGGACACCTGACCCCACGTGCCCTCAGTGGACACGGCGTTCAGGCCTCTGAGGATTTCCAGTTCAACCAGTAAATGTGGAAAAGCGTGAGTTCACACCAGTAACTCCAGTTACTATCCCACACCGCGGAGCTCTCCTAGCTTTCCCGGTCCTATCTAACTCGCTCCTCCAACTGGGAGAAACCTGGTTCCTGTCACTCTTTATTCACCTATTTGCTCCATCCCGTCAGTAGCCCATCTCCGGCTGCCACCCCTGCCCTGCCCCACAGGTGTCCACACCTTGCCCAGGGTCCCCCATCCCTGCATGGTTACAGAGCCCCTCTCAGACCCTCCTCACCCAGCAGGGGCTCCACCACTCCACCCTGGGCCACTGCAGCCCACCCTGGCCTCGGGGCAGCCACCTGCCTTGCTGGGTCCCGGCCAGCAGCTTTGGCCCAATTGCTCAGGACAGGAGCGGAAGAGGAGGTTTCATTCTAAGAAGGATGGTCAGGGTAAGCCTCTCTGAGGTGATGTCTGACCCCCCTGACTCCACAACCCATCCAGATGTTTGTGCAATCCTGTTGTTTACACCTCCAAACTGCCCCTGCCGACCTCTTGCATCAGAGAGCACCACAAAGTTCCGGGGCGGTGTATCAGTTAACCAGGGCTGCCATAGCAAGGGACACAGACAGAAGTGTGTTGGCTCACAGCTCCGGGGCTAGAGGTCAAGGTGCCAGCAGCATAGTTTCT